TGCCCTTCCAATGATCTGCCTCCGCCAGACGCTTAGTGAAAATATCTGCTGCCTGCTGATGGGTCTTCACTATCTCCAACCGCACCTCCTTATCAAGGAGTCTCCTGACCCAATGCCACTTAGGCCTTATGTGTTTTGTCAGCCCATGCAGACAAGCATTCTTGGCCAGCTTCACTGCAGACTCATTATCACAAAAGATCACCGTCGGCTCCTTCTGACCAACTCCCAACTCCTCCAACAAGCGCCTCAGCGACACCACTTCCTTGGCCCCATGGTGTAAGGCCATGTACTCAGTCTCACATGAGGACAATCCCACCTCATTCTGCTTCTTGCTGCGCCAACTCACAGCACCACCTCCTAGCAAGCACACATAACCCCCAATGCTGGTGCCATCCGCTTTCACTGAGTTGAAGCTAGTGTTTGTATAGCAACTCAAGAGCATCTCTCCACTCTTCACATCTGTAGCACCTCTCTGCAACCGCTGCCTCACTCCATTGTACTCCAATCCCACTGATGCCGTAGCGCTCACATAGCGGACCAACCTCTTGGCCACTTCCAGCTGCTCATGACTAGGGCGTGAAACCACGCTAGCCAGCCTTGATGTAGCAAATGCAATGTCAGGCCGTGTATGATTTGCAGCATAATTCAGCGACCCAACCATCGAATGAAACAAGTTCCTGTCACTCTCACCCACTACCTCCTCATCAGCACATGGCTCCACAATAAACCCCGAAGGCAGTGGTGTTGCTGGCTTTCCCCCATCTTGCAGCTCATACTTCTCAGCCAGCCCCTCACAGTACTTCCTCTGGTGCAACCTCAGCACACCCTTTTCCACATCTCTCTCCACATGCATCCCCAGGTAGTACTTCACCTCACCCATCTTGGAGCACTTGAACTGCAACTCCAGCATCTGCTCTACGCTGTCCAACAAAGCAGTTGATGTAGAGAAGAGAAGGATATCATCCACATACACCAGGAGCATGAAGATTTCATCCTTCTCCTGCAGCAGGAACAGGCTGGGGTCACACTCACTCTTCTTGAAACCCCCAACCAACAGCGCCTCCTCCAACTTGTGATACCATGCACGAGGCGCCTGCTTAAGGCCATAGATGGCCTTTTTCAGCCTGCAGACCCTGCCGCTCGCATCATCCAGCCCCTCTGGCTGCTTCATGTACACCTCCTCCAGAATGATCCCATTCAGAAAGGAAGTCACAATGTCCATCTACCGTATCTTCCATCCCAGGAGTGCAGCTATCGCCAACAGCACCCTCAATGTTGTTCCTTTCCCCACAGGAGCAAACACCTCATCATAGTCCTTCCCCTTTGTCTGCTGAAACCCCCGTGCCACAAGCCTAGACTTGTAGCTGGTCAGCTCCCCTTCAGGTCCATACTTGTGCCTGTAGATCATATTGGAAGTGCAAGTCACACAGGTCCCATGTCTCGTTCTCAATCAGGGACCCGAACTCCTCATCCTAACTCGCCTTCCATTTCTCCCCATTTGGTCCATTCAAGGCCTCCTCTTGAGTCTTGGACTCAGGGATTGGTGCCCAGTAGCAGTGAGCAATCTCATCTTCCTCAATCTGCTCAACCACACTTCCAGCCTACACCACATTCGGCTTGCCTCTTCCCCCATAGGTCAGCCTCACCGGAGGGCGCACATCCCTCCTAGGTCGCTCAGGCGGGTGTGGAACTCGAGGTGGAGACTCATGCTGCTGCTGCTGCTCCACTTCAGCTGCTCCCCCTTCCTCAGTCACCCCAGACATCTCCTTCTCAGACACTGCAACCTCCACCTGTCTTGAAGGCTGCTGCACCTCATCTGCCTCCACAATGAGCGGTGTAGATGGAAGCTTCTGTTGCTGCTGCTTCCATTCCTTGTAGTACAGGGACTCAAGAAACTTCACATCCCTTGACACTGTCAGCTTCTGGGTGGTCAAGTCCCATAGCAGCCACCCTTTGTGATCCTTTGCAATCCCCAAGTGCACACCCCATCTTCCAGAAGCCTCCAACTTCCCCCTTTTCTCCTTAGGCACATGAAACACCAACATGCACCCAAATGCACTCAGCATGTTCACAGGCGGAGCACTCCCATACCACTTGACATATGGGATCCACTCCTTATCCCCAACCGGAGTCAGCACCATGTTCTTCACAAGGGCGACCTGCCTCAGTGCAGACACCCAAAACGGATCAGGCAGCCCTGCACGCCCAAGGAGAGTGCGTGCCCCCTCCTGCAGGGTCCTGTTGAGCCTCTCAGCCACGCCATTCTGCTGCGGGTTGTAGGGCACTGTCAGTTGATGTTGGATCCCCTTCCTCTTCAACTCCCCCTCAAAATCAGCTCCAATGAACTCCCCACCATTATCACTGTGGATCACCTTCACCTTGTGTCCGCATTCCCTCTGAGCTCTAGGCATCCACTCCTTAAGGACAGCCGCTGCCACCTCCCTCTCGCTCTTCAAAGGGTAAACCCACACTGCCCGAGTGTGGTCATCCACAATAGCGGCTGCCTGAGAGGGAAGGGGCTCTTGTGGGCCCCACCACATCCATGTGCATAAGTGCAAGTGGGGTCTTGGCTGGTCCTGTTGCACTGTTGAAGGGGAACTTGGAGAACTTGGTCTCCAAGCATGTAGGGCAGCTCCCAATCTCCTTCATTCCCCCTTTCACCTCCAAGCCCTTCAGGCTCCCATCCTTCACCAACTTCTGCAGCATAGGGAAGTTCACGTGACACAGCCTCGCATGCCATGTCTCCTAATCGGCCTCACCACTCCTTGATGAAGCCTTAGCCCATGCCGCACTCGCATCCACACCAGCAAGCACCTCGCCATCTGTCTGCTGCTGCTGCACTTTCTTGACTGCTTCCAGGACCCCATCAGTTGGTGCAGTTGCATTTCCTCCTGCTGATGCCTGTGCCGCTGCTGCCCTTGCTGCTGTTGGAGTCTTCCCATTCCAAGGGATGATGGGCAGCTGCCATAGGTCCTTGATGCAGCTGGTCTCCTCTTCCAGACTCCACAGTTTAGCACGACAGCTGGTTGGTCCAAAGGTCACTTCGGCCTTGCTCTTCTGCAGTCGTCGCACAAAGAGAAGGATAGCAGACAAACCTTCAACCAGCAGAACATTCCCAAGCCCCACAAGCTCCCCATTAGCTCCCTTATTTTTGGCATTCCCAACACCAATCACTGGGAGCAAAGCACCTGATGCTGCTGCCACATACTTAATCTTCCCAGGGGGTTTTACCTCATCAAGCAAATCTGCCCGTGGGGTCATGTGACTGGTGCAACCTGAATCAATCACCCAGTGCATGAGAGGGTGCATCACAACCTTTCCCACAGATCCCACATCACCATCATGCCCATGCACATCCTCAACCATGAGAAACATCCCAGGATAGGCATTACCCTGTGCACCTTCACCTTGTGCACCTGAGCCTTGCACAGCGCCACCTTGTGCGCGTTCACCACTTGGCGGTTTCATGCCTGGAGGTGCCCAACCCTCCGGCCTGCTGAAGCACTTGAACCAAGGATGCCCGACCTTCTTGCAGTACCAGCAGGTGCCCTCCATTCTAGTACTCCCCCTGCCACCAGAGCTCCCATGCCCCTCATTATAGTCACCTCGGCCTCTACCTCTGCCAAAGCTCCTCCCACGGCCTCGGCCTCTCCAACCCCCTCTTCCTTTGCCACGCCCTGCAGCTTCATACCCCTCAGCAGTCTTAGTGGCAGCACCGCCTCCCACATGGCATCTGCGGAAGTCCTCTTGCAAAATCTGCTGCCTTAGCCACTCAGGTGTCCATTGATTTTGCTGAGAGTTGAGGATGGGGATGAGGTTGTCCCAAGAGTTGTCCAATACCGAGATGATCTTGGTGCACTGCTGCAGCTGAGATACACTGCTGCCCGCTGCTGCCATCCTTGCATAGGTGTCCTTGATCTTGTCAAGGACCGGCTTTACATCGTCCCCTGGTCGCATGGAGATGGCAGCAAGTTCCTTCTCGAGCACGATCACCATCGGGAGAGTGTTGGGCTGAATCACATCATGTAGTAGTTTCCACGCCCTTGAACCCGAATCATACGCTTGCACAAGATCCTTGATGTGCTCGAACATCTCCTTGTTGACCGATTGAAGGATGAGGTCGAAAAGCACCGCGCTTTTCTCAATCCACCGTTCACGTGCTTCGCCTTCTTCGGGCATCTTCTCCTCCCCAACAGCAATCCTCAATAGCTTGTAGCGTTTGAATGCACTCCTCATCCGCCCGCTCCATTCCTCATAGTTGGAGCCATCCAAAGCTTCAACTTTGGATGGTGGCGGCTCACTTGTCTTCTCAGGAACAGCTCCTCTTCCATTAGCATCTCCTCCTCTCTCATTCATCTTCTCCTTGAGAAATTGACGAATTTCAGCTCCCCTTTTCTGTCCACACTCAGCTCCCTCGATATTTTCACAAGTGTCGGCGTCCACGAAATTTCGGCAGAGTATCCCCTTAGCGGAAGTCACATCCAACCTTTAGAACACCACTTAGGCACGCCCACAGGCCATGGTGGGTCTAGAAGGGTCTTCAAACTTCTGTAGAGTCCTCTTAATGTCCTTAATATGGCTCTGATACCACTTGTTTGGATTAAGGACGGAGTCTAGGTGAACTTGGGAGCTAGAATTACTCAAAATTGAAATCTGAAATTCTAAACACAAACGTCGCCTCCACAAGAAACGTCGTCGACGAAAACCTAGCCGTTGGAATGTCGTGAAACTCGGATATGCTGTAGCTCGTAATCTTAGCTACCGTTCCTAATTTGAATCACGTTGATTGATGGAGTATTCGCGACGCTATGTCTTTCGACGCATGGAGGGGTAAGCTGTAGGAGAAGAACTTAACTCAATCTCAAAACTTCAATCAAAGTTCAAGAATCTCACAAGGAATTAGAGGAGCAAGAGAAAGGTTGGGATAGAAGAGAGGGATGAGAGGGAATGTCCTAGGAGAGTCCCCAATCAAGGAAACCCCGTAAGCACAAAGATTCCCCCCCTATAGGAATCCCAACTTTGACATTTGTCCCTTCCCAACCAATCCATCCAAGTTGGCCACCCTTGCCAACCTAGCTTGGTTGTTCCCAACCAATTTGCAGCTGCTACAGTAGAGTGACGAATTTCCCCAACCCCAAAGGTCCCAACTTCATATAGAGTCACCCCACAACTTCACTTTGTAACCGCCGCAATTGTAACGCAAGCTCATGAACTTTGAATCTTCATAGCTTTCGCGTTCTTGCTCTGATTGAAGCGATTCTTGTTGCGTCGGAAAGATTTTCTCAGGATGTATCATCACAATTACCTGCTCAAACAAAATAATACAAAACACATTCCCAAACTCCATAACACACTACACACAAATTCTTGCACACGTTCAAACCATACATGCAAGTTGAAAACATGGGATGGGAGGCAGACAGAATGTGATAGCATATGATGATATCACACAACACTCTCTTCCCCCTCAGCAGCTCCCTTGATTTCCTCTCCCCCCCCTTCACAGCCCCCATACCCCTCCACCTGCTCCTTGCCCGCCTAGAAGCAGATCTGCCCGCACCGGCTCGGGAGATCCTCCGCCAACCCAGGGACGAACCAGGCGCCAAGCTGCAGCATGCCCTGGCACTGGAGGTCCACGGGGAATGGCATGCCCGGCTGGTAGGGACCACGCGCGCCATGACCCAACCTAGGCCACACGCAGCGACTGCTGTCGCTATGCGGACCAGGGGCAGGGGACTGGCTCCTGGCCATACCCTTTGGGCCAGACCTCACCATGAGCAAAGGCCAGTATGCGACGGCCATTGCCTTCCGGATGGGACTCCAGCACTCCATCCCCGCCCGCTGCAACTGCAAGCAGAAAAAGAAGCTGGAACACAAGCGGCTACCAAACCACTTGCTCTGGTGCTCCCTCGGCGGAGCGCCCAAGCGCACCCACGAAGCACTAGTCAACCTAGGCGCCCGCCTAGGCAGAGAAGCACGTTTCATCATCAACAAGGAGTCATCCAGCTTTCTCTGGCCGTTCGCTGTTCGCTACGCTGCTCACCAGCTTAACTTGTGGCCACGCTCCCAGCGGCCGCAGGTTTCGCTGACCCTCCTTTGGACGGGGTCCCCCGGTGACGCGTCTGCGTTCCACGTCTAGGGCTGCCTTTCTCACGTTCGTGCCTCTTGCACGGACAAGCTCACTGCCCGCACTGTCCCCTGTGTCTTCCTCGGTTTCCCCGTGGACTCGTCTGACTGGCTCTTCTACCACTCGCAGTCTCACCGCTTCCTTCACTCTCGTGACGTCACCTTTGACGAGTCTGTCTCCTTCTTCCCTCGCTTCCCTCACCGAGGTCTCCCGGTTTCCCCCCCCCTGTTCCTTGCTCCCTCTCTCCCGGTAGCCCCTGTTCCCCTCCCGCCTCGTCCTGCCCCGTCTGGTGTCTCCCATGTCACTCCCCTCTCGTCGGTTGTCCCCGTTGAGGAGTCTGCTGACTCTGGTGGTCCCCTCGGCCCGTCTGTGCCGCGCCCCCCCTCCCCGGTGTCCCCCCCTCCGCTATCGCAATCGCCGTCGCTGTCGCCGCTGTCGTCGCCGCCACCACCGTCGCAGCCGACGCCGCTGCCACCACCGCCGACGCCGCTGCCACCGCCGCCGCCGCCGCTACCGCTCTTGGCCTTTGGGGGTGCTGGCGTTTAGGAGGGTGTTCGTCCTGCGGCTCCTGGCGTGGTCTGCTCCGGAGGGCCTGGGGGTGCCGCTGGTGCTGGAGGGAGTTCTCGCTCTGGGGGTGTTGGTTCTAGGGTTGCTGCCGTTGGGTGTTCTCCCAGCCGCTACAGCAGCCGCCGCAGCCGTCGCAGCCGGTCTCTGCTCTTCGCCTGCTCGGCCAACCCTCTCCTGACCGCTCGCCAGTGTCTTCTCCACCACCTGCTCACCTTCTTGTCTACGGCCCAGTGTTTCCGCCGCCAGACTTGTCTCCGGCCCGTCTTCCTCCTCGTTCCCCATTTGTGTCCCCTCTGCCGTCTCCTGACCCTACACCTTCATCCCACGTTTGGTCTCGCCGCCCCTTACGTGCTCGTCCTGTCTCTCCTGTCCTGCGCTCCCACCCTATGTTGCTCCGTTCTCACTCGTCTCGTCCTCCCCTTCTCCCGTCGCCTCCTCCCTCGTCACTTGTTGTTGCACCTCCCCCGCTGTCTGACATCATCCGTGCCGCTCGTCCCCTTGTCCCTCGGGTTCTTGCCTCTCTTGCTACCGACCCGTCTGTTCCTGTCTCGCGCCTTGACGCGCTTGTCGCTGCAGTCGCAAACTTTGCCTCTACCCGCCGCCTTGACTACGCTATGCTCTGGTCTCTGACCCTGCCCGTCCTCCGTCCGTCGGGGGTGCACCTGCCGTTGGCAGTGACGTTCTAGAGGATAGGCAGTACGAGCTTGCTTTCCTTTCCGAGGCCGCTCCCCATCTCTGCTCCATGCTCCTAGTCCCAGAGGGTGACCCAGACGCCTTCGCCATCCCGACCCCTCGCACCTACGCTGAGGCCACCTTGGGACCCTGGGCCTCTCAGTGGATAGCTGCCATGGAGCAGGAGATGGCATCGTGGAGGTCCACCGGCACTTACATCGACGTAGTTCCCCCTTCTGGGGTGAACGTAGTCGATGGTCGCTGGCTCTTCAAGGTGAAGCGCCACCCTGGAGAGCCGCCTGTCTTCAAGGCGCGCTACGTGGCTAGAGGCTTCAGCCAGCGCGAGGGCGTAGACTTCTTCCAGACCTTCGCCCCGACCCCAAAGATGACTACTCTTCGGGCGCTGCTTTACGTAGCAGCACAGCGCGACTACGAGCTGCACTCCCTCAACTTCTCTATTGCCTTTCTTCAGGGCAGCCTAGACGAGCAGGTCTACCTGCGCCGACCACAGGGCTTCACTGGTACCTTCCCCCCTGGGACCCAGTGGCTTCTCAGGCGCCCGGTCTACGGCCTGCGCCAGGCTCCTCGCGAGTGGCACGACACGCTGCGTGCCACGCTAGCAGACCTGCAGTTCTTTCCGTCCTCTGGTGACCCCTCGCTGTTTGTGCGTTCCTGCCAGACTCCATTCTACATCCTTGTCTACGTAGACGACGTGGTCTTCGCTACTGCTGACAGGGACGCACTGGCCTCTGTGAAGGCCGAGCTACTGAAGAGACACACCTGCACTGACCTTGGAGAGCTGCGTCGCTATCTTGGCCTGCAGATCTCTAGGGACAGAGCAGCACGCACCATCACTCTGACACAGTCACACTTGGTGCGTCAGGTCCTTCAGAAGTTCGGTCTTCAGTTCTCCTCCGCACAGCCCACACCTCTACCTGTAGACCATGGGCTCTCTGCTCCAGTTCCTGAGGGGCCAGTAGAGCCCAGCGGCCCCTACGCAGAGCTGGTGGGCTGCCTCATGTACCTGATAACTTGCACTCGACCAGATCTCGCATACCCTCTCAGCATCCTGGCTCGCTTTGTGGCCACTGGCAGACACCGACCACAGCACTGGTCGGCCGCTAAGAGGGTTTTGTGATATCTAGCAAGTACATCGGGCATGGGGTTAGTGCTTGGAGGACGCAGGCCAGTGGTCCTTACTGGGCACACAGACGCTTCTTGGGCAGACGACGCTGAGACTCTCAGGTCATCGCAGGGCTACTGTTTTAGCCTTGGTTCGGGTGCTATCTCTTGGAGATCCACTCGCTCGTCGTCTGTTGCCCAGTCCAGCTGTGAGGCTGAGATCTACGCCAGTGCCATGGCGGCGCAGGAGCTCCACTGGCTGACCTTCTTGCTCACAGACTTAGGTGAGCGGCCTAGCTCTGCCCCGGTCCTGTACGCTGACAACAGGGCCATGATTCTCTTGTGTCAAGAGCCTCGTCTTGAGGGCAGAGCGAAGCATATCCAGCTGCGGTACTTCCTCCTGCGCGAGCTACAGTAGCGTCGCCAGGCCCGCGTAGTTCACTTGGCCTCCGGTGCCAACACAGCTGATATCTTTACTAAGGCGCTTGCGCCTAAAGATCATCAGCGGCACTGTGTACAGCTTGGTCTTGTTCCTGTGGCAGCTCACTTGCTAGGACCTTGATTGTGTACTCCTCATTATATATACTTGTCTGACTAACCTTGTGGCTTTACTCCCAGTGACTGGACTAGTAGTGCCGCCCTAGCTTGCTTTTGTCTTGTCTGTACTCTTGCTGACTGGTCTTTGGACCCCTGCCTCAGTGGTTGGACTAGTAGTGCCGCCCTGAGCTGTGTGCTTCTTGCTTGCACCACCCCTTCTCTAGCCTAGGGGGTGTGTCAACTTATACATGGCACGCATGTAGAAGTTATAGGCTAGTATCGGTGTGTGCTCGTAGTGAGTACAACCCAACTGCTATATGTTCCCTGTTTCTCTTTCTAGTCATCATTCTCGTAATCTAACATGTGCTGGCTGCAGCACATTCTGGGAGGAGTAATGAGCTTTTGACGAGTATGCTGGGAGTGAAGGCAGGCTAGTAGGACTTGGAGGAGAGGCTCTTGACTTTGAGCATGTGTTCCCACGGGCCAGGCCAGGGCACCAATAGGACCACAGGGAAAGGGCAGGAACCGTTGAGAGGATGAGGGGGCAGTGCCGCATATCAGGCGAGAATCGTACGAGGTCATCGGGACTTGAAGGAGGAGAGGCTTTTGAACTTGAGCGTGTGCTCCCAGGGCACAACGAGCACCGGGCAGGAGCAGCTGAGAGGACGAGGGGGTAGTGCCACATACGGAAGGCGAGTGTATGGATTGTCTTGAAACCAAGCGAGAGGCTAGCGGGATTTGAAGGAGGAGAGGCTCTTAAACTTGAGCATGTGCTCCCAGGGCACCACGAGCACCGGGCAGGAGCAGTTGTGCAGGAGGTAGTCGCTCACACTGCCCTTGATGGCTCTGGGGGGGACAGAAGGGGCAGGGGCAGGGGCAGGGGCAGGGGCAGGGGGAGAGAGACAATTTCGGAAGAGAGGGAAGAGCAGTTGTGCTAGAGGTAGTCGCCCACTCTGCCCTTGATGGCTCTGGGGGGATGGGAGGAGAGACGAGGGGAGATGAGCAAAGGAGGAAGAGCATGGGAAAGGAGAGAAAGTCGAGGAGAGTGAGAGGTTGGTGGTGCGGCAGATAGTCGCTCACACTCCCCTAGAGGGGAGTGTTGTTGGGTGCTTAGACCACCCAATGGCACCCAGAGCGTGTCTCACCACAGCTCTCAGCTGCCTGGCTCCCACCACAAAGAGCTCTCTCTCCCGCCAAACCACCGGCTGGCGAATCCGAGTGGTGCATTCTCATCCCCGCCACTAAGAGCTCTATGTCCTGCCAAACAAACCGCATAGCGAATCCCAACCACACCACACGGCACTGGCCTTGCCTTGCATCGTAGAGCCGTCCATCCTCTCCTCGCCACGGCGCTCAGCTACGTGGCCCCCACGACCAGCAGCTCTATGTCTTGCCGCACCACCGCCTGGCAAACCTCAAATGTGATGTGAGTGGGACACAGGCACAGGCAATCCCACCCACAGCTCGCTTCACACCACCACCACCACCACTCCTCACCTCGCCACGGCACTGAGCTGCCTGGTCCCCACGACCAGCAGCTCTATGTCTTGCCGCACCACCGCCTGGCAAACCTCAAATGTGATGTGAGTGGGACACAGGCACAGGCAATCCCACCCACAGCTCGCTTCACACCACCACCACCACCACTCCTCACCTCGCCACGGCACTGAGCTGCCTGGTCCCCACGACCAGCAGCTCTATGTCTTGCCGCACCACCGCCTGGCAAACCTCAAATGTGATGTGAGTGGGACACAGGCACAGGCAATCCCACCCACAGCTCGCTTCACACCACCACCACCACCACTCCTCACCTCGCCACGGCACTGAGCTGCCTGGTCCCCACGACCAGCAGCTCTATGTCCTGCCGCACCACCGCCTGGCAAACCTCCTGCCGCCGATCGCTGGCTTTGCGCGACACCCCGTGGCAGATGACCTGGTGCAGGGGGATGGGTTGCGAGGCAGGGAGAGACAGGGCAGTCGGACAGTAAGCAGCTGTCACATGGCTGGCTTTGCGCCACACACCAGAGCATTTGACCTGGTGAGGGGGGTTTAGGCAAGGCAGGGAGGGAGGGAGGGAGGCGGGAACTGGAGAGTCAGCAGCAGGTGTCACATTGCTGGCCTTGCTTTGCACGACACGCCGTGGCAGTTGGCCTGGCGAGGGGGAAGAGATGCCGACCACAACAACGGAGGGCGGGGGGAGGGGAGGGAGGGGACATAGGACATTCAAAGTGTGACAACTCAATGCACAACATTAAGTCTCGCGTCCATTCTCCATTGCCGCTTCCACCTCTCCATCCTGGCCGAACACGCAATTCACTCTCTCGTGCGAGCTAGCAAGCATGCCACTCGCCCCACTAGCATGGGCGAGCTAGCATGCCACTCGCCCCACTAGCATGGGCCAGTTTCCGGCATCGGTTCAGCAGAGCATTCACGCTCGTGCCCATCGCTGCTTCCGCCTCGCTGCTGGCGCCTGCATCACATGTGCTTCCCAATCGTGCCTTCCGTCTCCCATGTGCCGCTATGTTTCCTACTCTCTCGTGTGTGCGAACTAGCCACTCACCCCAGAAAAATGGGCCGGTTCCCAGTATCAGTTGAGCAGAGAATCCACCCTCGCGTCCATCGCAGCCTCCATCCCTCCCTCCGTGTACCCTATGCCACCTATGCACTCACATGTGCTTGCTACCTTGCCCACTCACCCGACTAACATGTGCCAGCTTCCGGTATCTATTCAGCAGAGCATCCACCCTCGCGTCCATCGCTGCTTCCACCTCGCTGCTGCTGCTGCTGCTGCTGCTGCCTGCCCCTCCCTGCACCTCGCTGCCGCCGCCTGTATAGCATGTGGAACCTATCATATCGCACCCTGTAAGACTCACCCCACTAACATGCGCCAGCTTGTACTGGGAACAGCTTGTACCGCGCCGTGCGTGGTCCATGCAGATGGATCTCGGAGAGGGGGACTTTACACCAATCTTTCCCCAGATTGTTTCCCAGGGTCTCGCCGACCTCGTCATCGTCCTCCGGCAGCTCTCCCTCCGGAATCTTCAGATCCTTGACTTCGTTCAAGAACTTGACGACCGACTTCTTGAACTCCAGAAAATACCCGGCGTACTGTGGTCGAGTGCTTTTCGCCTCGACCTTCAGCAGAGGAACTGATGCCCGGTGAACCAAGCTTTCTTTGGTTGTTGTCTCCACGTACGCATTACCCGCGTACATGCTTTTGCCGGGCTGAGGCGGGACCTCTACGCGGGCAGCCGATTCAGAGCCCTCTTCCTCTGTCTCCTCCTCCTCCCCCTCATCCCCCCGCTGCCCGCACCACTCTCCCTCCCCCTCCTCTTCTGGTCGTTCTCCGGTCAGATCCACTCCAGGATCTGCCAGTCCCTCATCTCTTAGTTTTTTCTTTGGCGCCCTTTCTTCCTGCTGCTGCGGTGTACAAATCGGATCATCTTCTACGTCATTTCCCTCAGACGAAGCCCCAACAGCATCCGCCTCTGCTTCGCCCCGTGCACACGTTATGAACGTTTCATCTTCATCCGCCTGCGTACAATCTGTTCCCAGTTGGCGTCCTTCCACAAGGGCGAAGGCCGCCTTGGGGCCGTGGATGCCCGATGGGCAGCCACGACCCTTGTGGAGTCCGGTCGGTTGAGCGACGCGGAGTGGTGGTGGATGTACGGAGGGGAGGTCGGTGCTCTGCAGGAGCTGGCTGTTATGGTGCTGTCACAGTCAGCGACTTCGTCCGAAGTGGAGCGCTACTGGTCCGCGCTGGCTCGTGTGTCCAGCGCCGCGACCGTAACCGCCTCAATGCCACGACCATGACTGACGTGACATTCGTCGCGTTCAGCAGGCACGCGCGTGCAGCTTTCGATGAGAAAGTGGCGGCTCGCACGAAGCTGTATAGCGATCTAAGCGATGGCAGCCTGAAGGAGGGCTGCACCATCCCTCCGCCCACGGCTGAGGAACCCGAGGCAGACGAAGAGGGAGGGGATGCAGACGAGGGGCAGTGTACCATCGATTGGGAGTCGTTTGGTAGCATCGGCGCGAAGGGGAAGAAGATGGCCCTCAAGGCCCGAGAGAAGAAGAGGGCGAAGAAGGCCAGCGGGTCCCGAAAGGGCAAGGAAAAGGTAATGGAGGAGGAGGAGGAGGAGGAGGAGGAGGAGGAGGAGGAGGAGGAGGAGGAGGAGGAGGAGGAGGAGGAGGAGGAGGAGGAGGAGGAGGAGGAGGAGGAGGAGGAGGAGGAGGAGGAGGGAGGAGGAGGAGGAGGAGGAGGAGGAGGAGGAGGAGGAGGAGGAGGAGGAGGAGGAGGAGGAGGAGGAGGAGGAGGAGGAGGAGGAGGAGGAGGAGGAGGAGGAGGAGGAGGAGGAGGAGGAGGAGGAGGAGGGAGGAGGAGGAGGAGGAGGAGGAGGAGGAGGAGGAGGAGGAGGAGGAGGGAGGAGGAGGAGGAGGAGGAGGGAGGAGGAGGAGGAGGAGGAGGAGGAGGAGGAGGAGGAGGAGGAGGAGGAGGAGGGGAGGAGGAGGAGGAGGAGGAGGAGGAGGAGGAGGCGGAGGCGGAGTGCGACAGCGATGGCGGTGGACCTGACGACGGGGCTGTCAAGACGGCCGGGGGGGAAGATCCATGGGACTGCAGCGACGGAGATAGCGGGGAGGAGGAGGAGGAGGATGACGATGACGACGAGGCAGAGGAGGAGGAGGACGAGGAGGAGTAGGACGAGGTGGTGGAGGAGGAGGAGGAATAGGACGAGGCGGAGGACTAGGAGGAGGACTAGGAGGGGAAGGAGGAGGAGAGCACACGGTTGAGCGCGACCAGGAGGAGGACTATGATAGCTAGGAGGGGGACGATAATGTCTTAGATCTTCGGCCACAATCCTGCGCCCAACATCCTTCAGGCTGTTCAAAAAACTGGCGCCGGCAATGTGGATGCCGTCTGTAGATTTGTCCTTGTTGAACTCCTGGACCTGCAAGATTTCCGACCTGAAAAAGCCATTGTTAAGGTCAGCAAAAATGCTCCCACAGATACGGTTCCACCGACTCGCACCCACAGGAACGCTCCCACAGACACCACACCACACATACGCTCTGACAGAAACCACACCACAGTAATGTTACCACAAACGTAGTCACAGAAATGATCTCACAGAAATGCACCCACATAAACTTTCCCACAGATACGCTCCCACAGATATGCTCCCACAGATACGCTCCCACAGATACGCTTCTACAAAAACACTCCCACAGAAACGAACCAACAAATACGCTCCCACAGAAACCAAACCACGGAAACCACACCTTCGATTCGCTCCAACAAAAACCACACCACAGAAACGGTACCACAGAAACGATCTTACAAAAATGCACCCACAGAAACTTTGCCACATATACGCTAGCACAGATACGCCACCACATAAACGCTCACAGAAACGCCCCCACAAATACGCTTCCAACGAGACGTTGACATACAAGTGCTCCCAAGACACATACAAAGCCACAAAGCATCTGCAAATGTGATTCAGACCAGCAGAAGTGACCGCACCTTCTTCAATTCGCCCTCCAGCCACGGGTAAATGTGCTGAACGAACAACTCTTCCAAACCGTCTGGCAGAGGGACGTCGTGTCTTCTAATGTAATAGTCTCCCTCAACGCCACTGAATCCAGCCAGCAGAAAGAGAGCCTGTCGTGGAGGTGAGACGAGGTAGCACTTGCGCATCTCATTCTTCTCCCATCCTCCCAGATGTGCAATCTGCGGTTTTGGACAGAGAAGGTCGCAGAGGATCTGTGCAGTGGATCTTCTGAAGATGTGGGTGACCTTGCTCAGCAACCACTTGGCCGCTTTTATCGCCCAACCTACACACTTTTGTGCGTCTTGTACGGCAGCTCCCTCTGCTCGAGGTCATCCAGGGCGAAGAAGAGGTGCTTCGACGACCACTTCGTCGGGTGGGAGAAGTCGAGAGGCTTAATTATCTCCATCTTATCGGTTTATGTAGTACAGATGCATGAGGTCGTACACCCAGTGGATTCACAGAAACACGGCACCCATGGCGCACTGCTGCCAGTACAGGCTACGCGCTAGAAACTGGTGGTCCAACTTGTTTGTCGTGCACAACCTTCGACTTTCGGCTCGCTATGACGAGGACGGGCACCTTTGTGGGGGCGGCAGACGAGGTGTTGCTCGGAATCTCATGGCTGTACATGTTGGCGAAGCGGATCTGTCGTATGCTGCAACCCCTTCCCAGCATGTAGTGTGACTGAAGAATCATCACCTTCATCCCCAATGCCCTCCACAGAGTCAAACTGGGCTCATTCACAGCTTTGTCGAACTCCTTTATGGCAGCGGTCGGCAAGGTCGACTCGTTCAGCTGGCGAAACTAGTCCGCGGAGTAACAGTCGTCGAGGGACCCTCGATGTTGATCCTTGCCCTCTCTGCAGAAAACGCAGTGGAAGAAATGTTAGATCTAATCTTTGCTCAACGGCCTTGCTGTGAAGGCAAAGTAGGCAGAACACGCAGAACCTTACGCGATCTATTGAGCGTTCAACTGTCGTAGCTTGACCTTCACAAGATCTCGCGCAAATGCGATAAGGGCTATCATCAACGGAGCAGAGGCAGCCCAAGGCGTTCATCCGGGCTTTCATCATGCCCGCCGTGCATTTCTTTGGGGCTTTCCTTGCGATGACCTTCTGACCCTCTTTCAAAGCTTCGGCCTACTCCTTGGTCTGCTAAAACATGTACTCGACATATGCTTTGGGCCTCCACTTCGCCGTGCGTGGTCCATGCAGATGGATCTCGGAGAGGGGGACTTTACACCAATCTTTCCCCAGATTGTTTCCCAGGGTCTCGCCGACCTCGTCATCGTCCTCCGGCAGCTCTCCCTCCGGAATCTTCAGATCCTTGACTTCGTTCAAGAACTTGACGACCGACTTCTTGAACTCCAGAAAATACCCGGCGTACTGTGGTCGAGTGCTTTTCGCCTCGACCTTCAGCAGAGGAACTGATGCCCGGTGAACCAAGCTTTCTTTGGTTGTTGTCTCCACGTACGCATTACCCGCGTACATGCTTTTGCCGGGCTGAGGCGGGACCTCTACGCGGGCAGCCGATTCAGAGCCCTCTTCCTCTGTCTCCTCCTCCTCCCCCTCATCCCCCCGCTGCCCGCACCACTCTCCCTCCCCCTCCTCTTCTGGTCGTTCTCCGGTCAGATCCACTCCAGGATCTGCCAGTCCCTCATCTCTTAGTTTTTTCTTTGGCGCCCTTTCTTCCTGCTGCTGCGGTGTACAAATCGGATCATCTTCTACGTCATTTCCCTCAGACGAAGCCCCAACAGCATCCGCCTCTGCTTCGCCCCGTGCACACGTTATGAACGTTTCATCTTCATCCGCCTGCGTACAATCTGCGTATGAAAAATGGGCCGGTTCCCAGTATCAGTTGAGCAGAGAATCCACCCTCGCGTCCATCGCAGCCTCCATCCCTCCCTCCGTGTACCCTATGCCACCTATGCACTCACATGTGCTTGCTACCTTGCCCACTCACCCGACTAACATGTGCCAGCTTCCGGTATCTATTCAGCAGAGCATCCACCCTCGCATCCATCGCTGCTTCCACCTCGCTGCTGCTGCTGCTGCTGCTGCTGCCTGCCCCTCCCTGCACCTCGCTGCCGCCGCCTGTATAGCATGTGGAACCTATCATATCGCACCCTGTAAGACTCACCCCACTAACATGCGCCAGCTTGCGGTACCGGTTGAGCAGAGCATCCACTCTCGCGTCCATCGCTGCCTCCACCTCGCTGCTGCTGCCTGCCCCGCCTTGCTGGGCGTCTGCCCGCCACGCTGACACTGCGAGGAAACAGGTTACAGGGGCACTAAATCAGGAAAGCAGCGAAAAAAAGAAAAGAAACAATAAATGTGCTATAACAATGTATGAGCAGTCCATAACGAGGAATCCATGTATCCCTGGTGTCTGTTGCTGCCCACCCCTCTTGGCTGGCCATCTACCAGTGGGAGGCACAGCACACCACAGCACAGCACAGCACAGCACAGCACATCGTGGCATGGCATGGCATGGCATGGCATGGCATGACACAACATTGCATGACATCGCATGGAAGAACGTACCTGTGGTGGGGTCCAGCACGTGCAGCACATAGATGTTGTCATTGCGCGCCTCAAGTGAAAGATGCGTCGCAGAATGCTATATATAGACACATGGCATGGCATGGCATGGCATGGCATGGCATGGCATGGACCAACGTACCCGTGGTGGGGTCCAGCACGTGCAGCACATAGATGTTGTCGTTGCGCCGCAGCAGGGTGAGCGCGTAGCGGAAGGCCTGCAGGAGAGGCGAGGCTCAGAGAGACACGGAAGGGAGAGGGTCGGACGGGGAGAGGTGGAAGGGGGTGAGAGAAACGGCAACGAGGAAGAGGCTAAGAGCACGATGCTGTCGCTGCGCGGGCCTCAGGAGAGTGAGCGCACAGCGGAAACCTGCACAGGAGGTCCGCAGAGAGGCATGGAAGCGTCAAGAGACTGGCATGAAAACGGCAAGGGCGCAGGGTAGGAACGAGAGGCTGTCGCTGCGCTGCGCCTCAGGAGAGTAAGGGCGTGGCGGAAGGCATGGAGGAGAGGCTCGAACATGTATGGACACGAGAGCAGCAGGGGGGAGATGGTAAATGGGACAGACAGTGGGAGGAAGAGGGTTTCAGGAGAGTGGGGGTGTGGCGGAAGCCCGCAGGATTGCTCCGACAGACGTAGACGAGGAGGGTGGAGAGAGGAGAGGTGAGAGGAAATGAAGGAGATGCCACACAGGCAGGTGCGGGAGATGTTGCTGTGTGGCATCTCCCTTGCTGCATATCAGGAAAGTGAGGCGTAGCGAAAGGCGTGCAGGTGAGGCTCAGATGAGGCATGGGTTCGCGAGGAGGAGCAGGTGAAAGGAGGGTGGGAGGAAGGGGATAAGAAGAAACAGTGGGGAGACGAAAGAGAGACAGCGGTGCGTTTGACCAGCAGAGTATCAGCAGCCACGATTCCACGCAGAGGGGTGTTTGAGTGAGAGCCCATTTGAGCTAGCTACCGCATCACCGGCCACGCCAGCAGCATCGATGCGCTCCACTAACCGCCTCTGCGCCGGCCGACTCGTTCACGGCCACAGGGATCCGCAGCGAGCCTCCCGCTAGCCTCGGCGCAGCGAGCCTCCCGCTAGCGTCGGCGCAGCGAGCCTCCCAGCGGATCCCTGAGGCCACAGGACTCGGTGTAAACTGGGACAATCCGCGCCCACGAGAACAGCCCTACGCGTTACCAGCAGCGGCAGCCCGCTGCACTCACCGCCTCGGCGCCGTCCGGCTCGTCCACGGTTACAAGGACCAGCGGCGCGCCTCCCGCTACCCTCGCTTGGCAGTGGATGGCGCTGCCCCTTGGCCGCTCGCGGACCCTTACCACGAAAAAAGAAGAGCCACCGATCCCAGCGCACCACTCACCGCCTCGGCGCCGTCCGACTCGTCGACGGCCACGAGGATCCGCGGCGAGCCTCCCGCGAGCCTCGGCGTGGGCGGAGCGGCCATGTCGTCTCCCATCTGTGGACGCTCGGTCGTGAGTAAGCCGGAGCAGCGGCGCCAGGCGGAGCGAGCTGAGTCCCTGGCGCTAGGCGCTATCTATTGAAGAGCTTGCTGCTGCTTCTGGTGGCTTCCATTGGCGACTAACGCGAGAGGCGATCGAGATTGTAGGGTAGCAATAGATAAAGAAAGAACAAAAAGGGAACTAACTGTACTTAATAGTGGACCTAGCTAACGGTATTGTGAAGAGATGGCGTGATTAAAGAGCCTGCATTACGGAGACGGGGAAGGTAGAGTCAATCGGGCGTCATCCTCTAACGGAGCAAGCGAGGTACCTCGGCGCCTTCAGTAGTACCCACAACACGAAATGCTACAGGAAAAACGCTAGGCACTAACGGCGGTACGGGGGAGGTGTAATGTCAGGGATTGTAGAAGCGGCAGCACGGCAAAGCAAGCGCGAGGACAAGATCGTCCATGGCGGAAAGGAGCTGGCATGCTGTTGCTGGGTCAAGATAGTCTCTAGGTTGCGAAGGGAGCAGTGAGAGAATTGCAGGCGGGGTCTGGGTGACTGCTACGGGGAGAACTCGTTAATAACTCATTGCGTGTGGTTTCTGAATTATGCTTATCTGTCTAACAAGATACAAATAGAAGGAATAGATAAATCTCAAAATGGCCCATTTGAGTATGCGTTCCGATACAAGAGGAACAAAAGGGTGGGTAACTAGAGAAGAGGAGGGAAGAAGGGATAAGGAGAGAGACAACACTGTAAGGGATGGATGAAAAGAGAGGGAAACCGAGGGGAGGAAAGGGGTGGTTGTGGGAGGGGGGAAACTCAACAGGAAACGGAATGCATACGGGTTTTAAGGCATCATTCACATTCACCCTATGTACAAACTAAGTGCACTCCCAAGGGGTTAGCTTAGCCTCCATAACTTTTGACCTCATCCTCACACTCAAGCCTGCTCAGCAGCTACCCCAACAAATATCGCAAGGTTTACCATCGGTCCCTCCACCTCCGGAACCCTCAACATGTCAAGCGAATCAATAACCACCACCTCCCCTCCTCCCTCCACACTCCTCAGAGCCGCTCTAATCCTCTCCTTCCCCACCTCCACTCCAGCAGGGACAGCCACGCTCGCGAACGAGAGCCCTTGGATGCTCAGCTGTAAGAGGTGGATCTGACAGCTGTGGCGGTAGAACGACTTGACGACTCGAATCCCATGACGAGGCTTCCCCCCTTCCACTAAATACACTCCCTTCAGCTCCCCCTTCGGCACACTCTCTCTGGCCCAGAGGGAAATCAGATTGCCTACTGCTGTTTCGACCCCGAGTGAAGGTTGCGGGCCCAAACCCTCTCGTTTCATCTTGCTTGCAGGAATCATTCTCCAGTGGTGCGCCTTGTTCTTCTCGTCACTGGACAGGGCCTCGATGCGCTCCCAATAGTAGTGATCCAGCACCATTCCCGACTTCTTATTCTTCAGTATGACGTACAACCCCCCCTCGATGTCTTTAATCTGCCACTTATGGTGGTCATTAGAGAAATCATTGTCATAAGCGCCGATCCGCCGGGCACTGTAGTGATCCAGAACCGAGCCTGTCGCGTGGTTCTGTAACACGTGGTAACCCTTTTCGGCCTTCACTGCTCTCCACTGCTGCTCCTTGGCGCCCCACTCATAGTCAACAGCCTCAATATTCTCCTCAGATACAGCCAGCGCCTTCCCACTGTCCCGGTTGAAGATATAACTCCAGGGTCTATCTACAACTAGAGCAAGACTCGCAGGCCCTTCAGAACCCTGCACCGCTTTGCACCACTTCTCGTCCTTCTCCTCCGCCTCCCAATGTGCCTTCCCACCAACGTTCCCCGCCGGAGTAATCGTCCAGTGATGGTGGTACTGTAGCTCGTCCTCATCATATGCCCGAATGCTTATCCCGTAAAAATGATCCAGAACCTTCCCACTGCCTCGGTTTTTTATCGCCCAGTACCCGCCACAAGTGCCTCTGAGCTCCCATTGGCTGTGATGGTGACTCACGTTACATTCACTCGCGTCCATGAGGCTTCCCCACCAGGAGTGCCTCAGTACGAAGCCAGACGCGCGGTTCTGGATGAAGAAGTAGGACCCCCCCACGCTCACTGCGCGCCACTGCTGCTGCAGGCTCCCGCCTTCAAAATCCCGCGCCTCCACCTTGCTGCTGGACTGCGTGAGAGCGACTCCGGTGGCTCGATTGCGGATGTAGCTCCAGGGGAAGAGCACGGGCAGGGTCGTGATAGAGTAACGCTCCACTTCATCCGCCTTGTCCGCCTTAGCCTTCTCCGCCTTGTCCGTTAAGCCAGGCCTGAGGTTTAGTGTAAAGTCTGGCATGGATGTTGAGGTGAGTTCTGCCATGTCGTCGGCACGGATGGCAGTCCACTGACAGCAGGTGCTGGACCCCACCAACCCGATGCTTCCTTGCACCTTCTCCTCGCAAGTGTTCTCCAGGAAAGCTTCGCCTTCGCGGCTCTGCAGCATGAAGATCTCGAGGCCGTTGATTTCCGCCAGCAGCCACTGATTTCCGCTGCTCGTCAGCACGTTGTCTCTCACCTGCGCTTCTGAAAAATCACCGTCCTCACCGGTGACGAGAATTGTGAGCAGAAATCCGGAAGAGCGATTCTGAAGGCAGGTGTAGCCGTCTGTGACTGAAACCCCCGCCAGTGCTGGTTGACTTCGCCAGGAATCAAATCTACCGCTTTAACAGAGTTTCCTTGAACAGGAGTGCAGTTGCCAGGTTTGCCGGAATGCGTGGACGGCTGCTGATGCGATTGCTGCAGCACCCTGCCGCTCCTGCGATTTCGGATGTACTCCCAAGGTCCGACATAGTATACAGCTCTCGGCGTGACCTCCTCGACCCTCCACCAGTGGTTCGGGTTCCTCTCATCCCCGCTATACGCCATCACCGTACCGAGACAACGCGCCAGCACCATCCCTGTAGAGCGGTTTCTGACGGCGAACAAGCCCTTTCCGACGTCGTAGAGCTTCCACTGGTGGTTGAAATTCGACACGTCAGCATCTTGAACGGCGACGACGTCTTCTCCTCGCCAATGACCGATCGAATCTCCCGATTTCCGGTTCTTGATCATGTGGTAACCGTCTCCGACGTCCAGAAATTGCCACTCTTGACTCTCGTCAGAAACGAAGTTATTACGAACTTCCGTCTCCTCCACTTGAAGGTTCTCCGCTGCCTCAGCCTCATGTTCGCTTCTCTTTCCGGATTGGCTGCACCGGCTGCTTTGGGCATCGGGGGTTTCGTTCTTCAGAGAATCCGGCTTTCGACCGGACAAGATAGTGACTAGGTCATCGTCCTGAGAGAACCATGTTTCCTCTAAGGCGTCGCGAATTGTGTACCACATCTTGATATATGTCCGGACGACGCCTCTTGTCGAGTCCCTTGAGAACGGGCGTCAAAGCTTTCAATCATTTACTCTTGCTCGACGTTCTCCTGGCAGCAGATACGATAAAAATTTCATTGCCACGGTGCAAGCTGCAATTGACGAGACAAGACGAGACAGCCTTGCTGTGAGGAGGTGGGGTGAGCCGAAAAGGCCGGCGGAACGCTCGCGTTGGAAGAGGAATAATTGAAGTTGGTAGGCGCCAAGCGAAACACTCGGCTTGCGTTGCGTTGCTCGAAGCAGCCCGTCGATCGCTTGACCTGGCTGTGCGGGAATGGTGATGCATGCTTGCTGCGTTAGGCAGCCACTGAAAACGAGCCATTGGAGGGTGTGTGAAGTCGAATGCCAGAAGAAATTCGAGCGTTATGCGAACACGTTCGATCTGAACGTAAACATCTTGATGTTTACGAGCAAGACACACCGTTGATCTGATCGCTCTCCCTCAACCAGCGGTCCGATTGACCGTTAGGTCTCTGTCACGGAGTGCAAGGGAACCCGTGGAGGGTTTCGCCTTGTCAAATTCAATTTCGCTTCTTTCGCCCTGCGAGAGTTCTTTCGCTAAGTGGGGATGTTGCATTGCACCTCGCAAGGAAACAGAAGTGCACACTGTACGGGAATTGGTTCGGGGTCGAATCGAAAACCGTCATAAAGCACAGCGAGGCATGCCATGATTGGCTGGGTCAGCGTAAGACTCTTGACGTGCCTGCTGTGCCGTGCTGGCACTTCGCCCTGCATGACGCGGCTAGCTTGGATCCCCGATTAAACCCAACTCGAGTTCCGCAATTGGCTCCGACGGAACACTTTTCAAGTTCGGTTGTGGTGGAGCGGAAGAATCGAATACATAAAACCCTGTCATGAACTCGAAACCCGTAGGTCTTGTCCCCTGCTTCCTCCGTACCCTCTTTCCCGTGTTATGTGGACGTAGTATTTCTATGAACCAGTCTCTTGGGCAGCTGTGTCAGGTTAGGTAGCAAGTGATTAATCAAGCCAGCTCGACTACCAACTGCCGCCTGCCCAGAAAGTGTTATCATCCTCGCATCACAGCAGGCTCCGTCGACTATTGGCTCTGTCGTCGTTCCCCGGTTCACATACGTTTACGTACACGAGGCCGACTCATGGCGTTATCTCTGGAACACATATCATCCTTTCAACTGGGTCACGCATTCTCACATTCTATACACGGGCAGCCTTTAGCGCGTACATCCTCCACACCCTCTTCCGTCTCTCACTCCAGTCAACGGCTAACCGTTCAGTGCGGCCGGCACGCCGGCTCCCTTAGACGGCCGAGTGAGTGCAGTTCCCCAGCCGTTACCATGGCCACCTAGTCGAGCCACCCCCGTACTACCCAGTCACTACAACGAGCCCAATCCATCCATCCATACATGGGGTTCACTGTTCACCCATGAGAGACGCTCGGTTACGTATATCCTGCTTGCCACTTTCACAAGCCTGCGTCTTCCCTCCCTCCTCTTGTCTCTCGCGCCGCCGCCACGCCCCTCGCATTCCGCTTCCCCCTACCGGTTCCGGTTCCCCCTCCCATTCAGCAGAGTCCACCAGGCGGAAGGCGAAGCCCGCGCGTTCCGCGGATGCACAGCGCGCGGGGAAGGGCGGGAAAGGGGGCGGGGGGGCGTCACTGAGTGAGGAGGTGTTTTCGCTGGGGAAGGGATGGCTGGTGGACCCCGCCGCGCTCATAGGCGGAGAGAGTGGCGGGGCGGAAGGGCGCGGGGGAGCGGACGGCGGAAGGGCAACGGGCGCGGGGACGAGAGGGGGAAATGAGGCGGTGGCGGTAGCAGGGCTGGATGGCAGGACTCGAAGCACACATAAACTGCTCAAGGTGAGTGTGTGGGCGCGTGTGTGTGTGGGGGGGTTGGGTGTGTATGGCTGCGCGTGGGTGTGTGTGTGGGGGGGGAAAGGGGGGGGGGGGGGGGGATGGGAGGAGGGGATGAGTGTGGGTGGGCGTCTGTGGGTGTGGCTGTGGGTGTGGTGGCGTGTACGGGGAGGGGGGGTTGAGTGGGGGTGTGTGTGGCTGTGTGTGTGTTGGGGGAGGGGGGGTGTGTGGGATGGGGGGGTGTTTGGTTGTCACAAGGACCAACTTTATCTTCTCCCCCCCTTCCCTTCCCCCCCACCTTCCACCCTCTCCCTCCCCTCTTTCCCCTCCAGATTTTCTCAGGCACCAACTGGGTGAGCTGTCTTCTGTCCCTTTCCGACCACAAGGTCCGCCCCATGATGGAGATGGTGCGGGCGCCATGCTTACCCCTCACCCTTCTCTCCGCAACCCCCACTCCTCTTTCTCCTCAATCCTCCCTCCCTCTCCCCTCCAGATTTTCTCAGGCACCAACCGGGGCAGGCGTCTTCTGTCCCCTGCGGACCGCAACGTGCGCCCCATGATGGAGATGGTGCGGGCGGCGGTGTTCGACATGCTGCACTCGATGCTGCAGTCGCCGCAGCGCCTGCCAGCCAACACCCGCTGGCTGGACCTCTACAGTGGCACTGGCAGCGTGGGCTTGGAGGCGCTCAGTAGAGGGTGTGGGCAGGTGAGATCGGGTCTCAGGTGGTGCGGATGAGGCGTTCTGTACTGGGCGTTCTTCACGGAAGCGTGGGCTTAGAGGCACTCCGTAGTGGTGTGGGCAGGTGAGCGTGGGGGTCAGATGTGTTCGACACGCTGCACTCCATGCTACAGTCGCCTCAGCACATGCTGGCTAATGCTCGCTGGCTGGGCCTGTGCAGCAGCACGGGGAGAGTGGGGCTAGAAGCCCTGCGCAGAGGGTGTGGGCAGGTGAGCGCGGGGTGAGAGGTGTTGGTCGCATTGCACGTTCTTCCTTGCCCTTCCTCTTACTCAAAATCCTTTGTCTTTTTCCCTTGCTCCTTTCTCCCCCTGCTCCGTTGCTCCCTTGCTCCCTTGCTGCATTTCTCAGGCGCACTTCGCCTGGGTGATCTCATCCGTGCTCTCCCCCAACATCCAAGCCTGCGTCATCCCTCCTGCCTTGCTCCCTTGCTCCGTTTCTTCAGGCTCACTTTGTGGAAATGGACCCCTGGGTGATCTCATCCGTGCTCTCCCCCAACATCCAAGCCTGCTCCTTCTCCTCTACCGCCACCATCCACCCCCTCAAAGTCGAGTCGTTTCTCCAGCAAGCAGAGGACAGAGGAGGTACGTACGACCGACCATACGAGGCCATGCCCTAGCCCCTTCCTCAGCCTCCCTCTCACCCTCCTCCTCTCTCCCTCCCTTTTGGCCTCCCCGCCCCTCTCCCGCGCTCCCTTCTTCCACGCCCTCTTCTCTTTGTCTCCCTCGCTCCTTCCCGTGCATTCCTGTTCTCTCACCCAGCAACGTCTTTCCCTTGCCTCTGTGCCTCCGACATAATCGTCTCCGACATTGTCATCTTCTCTTTGTTTCTGTCTCCCCCCTCTCCGCCCCCTCTCCAACGTCTGCATGTTATGATCCCATCTCCCTGCTTCATGTGTCTACTCGTCTTAACTTCAATTCCGTCTCAACTCTCCCCTCCCTTCCCTTTCCTTCCTTTCCCTTCCTTCCATAACATACCGGTGTCTTCTCTCACTCTTGCAGCGGATTGGTTGGGAGGCCCCTTCAGCTTCATCAGTGTGACCCCTCCATATGAGCTCGTCGTCTACAGTCAACTAATGGCGCAGCTGGCTCTGTCACCCCTCTTACACGAAGACACATGCATGGTGCGTAATTATTTGCCGCCAACCCGTGACAGCCATGGCCCAGTTCGACTGGTTACATGTATGGATCGTAATATCATGCATGCATTTGCCGTCACAGCAATGGCAATGTATGAAGCAGTGGTGCAGGCATGTTGGTAGTCGTTGTCGCCATCTGTTTTGGAGAATCGTCACGAAGATTCCTCCATTCTGCATCCCTTACAACCACCCATCTTAACTTGCTCATGCTGTCAGGTGGTGGAGTATCCTCTCAAATCAAGGGATGAGATCTTGGACACATGTGGACCATTGCATAAGGTGATTGCTAGTAGTGTTCAGGTGATTGTGTGTCATTCCTGTTGCAAAATGCATGTCTTTCATTTCTTCCCCCCCTCGTATCTTGGCAATGCCCTCTGTCTGAGACTGCATGAACCGTTTCTCGTGTTAACTCCAACTCTCTTGACACTATCACGCCCACTTGCGTTGCCCCTTGACTCCATGTGTGCAGATTAAAGATCGAAAGTACGGTCGAACCAATGTGGCCATCTATGGTCCTGCCTGGGCTCTTCATGATATTCAATGATGCCATGTTGTTTGTGTATGATCCAGCATGCATTCCCAGGATCACAAACTATGTGGGATTGTATGCATGAAAGCGACATTGTTATCATCAATGCATTTTAACGGAGGCTAATGCGAGGTGTTAAACACTAGTTTTTGGTAAATCATGTAGGAAGGAAACGTTGATGTTGATTAATTCATAGCCTCCAACTACTTATCAAGATTAGCTGAGATGAGTTGTGTGCTGAACACATCCTATCTGTAACTTGGACATTCCGAGTGGAGGTCAGCGCGAGCGTCATGTTGGAGTCTCCATCCAGGACTGTATTCGCGACTGGGATTCAAATACTGTAATAGGTTTCACAGTCCAATCCCTAGGCAACATTGTCCTGGGGATGCTCGCAATACAACAGGTTTGGAGGTATAGAGACCCTCGTTTTGTAAAAAACTTGTGACGATATTGCTGGTAGAAGCTACGTTCAAGGACCTCTGTATTCTGTTTGTCTGCCAATAGCATGTCAATGGCTGCATACAGGCATTCGCGCCCATTCATAGAATCAGTAAGGTACGCAGGACCCCACTAACCAGCTTCTTGATCCACCTGCCTATGCCTGACCGAGGGCTGTCTTGTAATTACAGAATTCGAGCATTCAAGTCCTTTCGCGATGAGCCGCAAGAGATAAAGTTCACTCCTGGCTTCAACCTCATAGCTGGTGCAAATGGAAGTGGCAAATCAAACATTTTAGGTGAGCGTGAAACCCACAAACTTGCATTGTCAAGCATCAGTGAGTCCCATTTCTAATCGAGTTACCGTGTTGTTGTTACAGATGCGATCCACTTTGCTTTTGGCGAGTCATATCATGCATTGCGTGTGCAGTCCTTGGCCGGACTCCAATCTTCTGATACGAAGGAAGGATGTGAGATTTCTGTGGTAGTACGTACATCCAAAGGGGGAAGTGCAGTCGACAGAATCTGTATCGACGCAAAGCTTCTACCGGACCAAACTAGGCAGACAAAAGTCAATGGGAAACTTAAGACGTTGCGTGAACTCAAGGTAAGAAAATCAAGTCTGGACTGTTTAATACAACTGTTTGATACTTCATATGCTCACGTCTTAACCGAACAGGACTTTCTTCGAGAGAACCGTATCACGCTGGATGCTTGCACAAGCCTGAAGCAGGCTCAGGTCTCCGAGCTGGCGAATGCAAACGATGGTGCTGTACTGTCAAGCCTCATATCGGGAGTGTCTGGAGCAGGTGCTTACAAATCGAATTATTTGCCAGATGTATCGATTCTGTAACGACTCCTCAAGCTACTTCAACTCAATACTTATTTCATTGTCATCTCATTGGCCTCTGTATCTCTTCCCTGCCTTTCTCCGTGGCATCAACCACAATGATCCAGCAAGGTGGGAAGCGGAGGTGAAGAAAGCTGAAGAGGTTGTGACGAAGACGGAGAGGAGCTTGCAGGAGATAAACACAAATACTTGTTTGCTTGAGACAGCGACAGCTGCTGATACAGCCAAGGTCAAAGAAGCTCATGAAAGATGGAAGGTGAGCCATTGTGCTTTTGCCTTTTCATTGCATCCTTCAGTGTCATCAACCTTGTCCGTCATTGGTTCAGATGTGCAAGAGGCTTGGCGAACTTGGGAGAGCGATACAGAGCCACGAGACAGAAAGAATAATCTCTTTGGAAAACCAGGCCAAAACAGTTCAAGCGCAATTGAAGACAGTACATGATGGCATTCGTTCTATTGTCACAGAACGTGATCAGAAGCAAGCCAGCATGCGTGAGCTGAAGGTGTCAGAGAAAGTGTGTGAAGACATCCACGGGAAACGGCATGCTGAAGCACTCTGTAAACTTGCAGAGAATGAGGAGGAGATTCGAGTGCTCCAGGTACAGCAGGCAGCTGCACAAGATTTTCAATCGGCTCTGGCAAAGCTTGATTCTGGTCTAGAAGAGACATTTCATGAGAAAAATCTCCTCAGCCATCAACTCAAGGAGCACCAGGATACGATCACTCGCTTTGAAGAGCTGGAGCTGCTATCAGGTGGGAAACATCCAGCAGATTTGCTAAAGGAGGAGGCAGCACAGTTGTTTGATCTGAAGCAAGTCCTCAAACACAAGCAGGCGTGTCTTTCTCAGTGTGGTGACTCACTTGCTGAAGTCGAGAGAGAGCTTGCTCTTACCAAAAATGCTACCAAGTCTCTGGAGGAGGAGAAATCAGGGTACAAGCCAAGGGAAGAGCTGTTATCACGGCTGCAAGATTTGCAAGCAGAGTTGCAGAGGCAGACTCAGGAGCAATATGGCATGAAGAGGAAGGAATCTGCCTTTAAGACTCAGCTAGAAGTCCTGAAAGCGCAGCTTGGAAGGCTGGAACCCACGGATTTGAAGTTTCCTGCTTGGCCATTGCACTCTGTTTTCCGCTTCAAGACAGATCCAAAAATCGGTTGCTCCAAATTTCTCACTGCGTTGGATGTCATTGCAGGTGAGTGCAGGCGTTTTGAAGCCCAAATTTTCCTGCATTTTTTTGCGGTTTCCATTTTTGTAACATCTCCCATGATTCTGCAGGTCAAATCAGCTCCACGTGTATCGTGGAGAGTATGCATGATGCTAAATCTCTATTGGACCTGTGGGAAGACCTCAGGCATCCAAGCATGTTCAGCCGAATCTGGCCTTTGAAATCTCTGGTTGTGGATGACAGAGGACACGATCAGTCATTTGTTAAGGAAGAGTTTCAGGACGGATCTGTGGTCCTTCCTCTTGATTTGCTTGAGTTTGATCATCACTTTCGTCCAGCCCTTGCTAAGCTTTTCAGCAGCTTCGTTATTGCAAGGGACGACACTGTTGCAGCTGACCTTGCCTTGAAACACGGCATCAGGAGCGTGACACTTGATGGAAAGATCCATAAGAGAGGCTTTCTGTCTGGCGGTTGGAGAGGTAGCAGGGCCCCCCGGGTGATGGTGACCAAGTTTGAGCATGACAGAGTTGAAAACGAAGTTCAGAAGACAGCGTTGTGCGTTGCACAATCTGGACAGGTGAGAATTATCTCACTGTTATCATGTTCGTTCACTCTTAGCAAAGTGAGTCTGACTTCTTCATATTTTTGCCTCATTTGCAGGAGCTGAAGCACCTTGCGCTGGAGGTTGAGAAGGTGCAACAGGACCTTTCAAGGCTTGATGCCATGTTAGGAGAGACAAGAGCTCTGGAGAGAAAGGTATGTTTCCCGTGTATGTCTTTCTGACAATGGTTCTCAGGGGTCTTAAAAAGCAGCTCATTTTTCAGATGAAGCTCGTTCTTGATTCGCATGCACAAGCTAAGCTGGCTTGCATTGACGCTCAAGATGCCCTCGTGGCAGTGGAAGGGAAAGTGAAAATGAAGGAATCGCTAGTTGCACACCTTCGAAGGCTTCTGGATGCTGGCTCCGATCATTCAGGTGGTGCGTTTTCCACTTGTAAGTCGGAGACCTTATCAGCCGTTCAAGACATTGAGTCAAAACTGAAGATGCTGACAATGAAAGCAGCAAAGCTCACGGATAAGAAGCTGCTGATAGAGGAGGGAATGGATGGCAGCACCACTCTGCAAGACATGGAGGAAACCATGAGAACGCTCCTTCAACACCACAACGCTATCAAGTGCGAGATCAGCCAAATTGAGGGGGATATGCAGAATTCTGTACGTGAAAGGGAAGAGCACAAGGCGAAGGTGGCACTGGGCATTGTTGACATTGAAATTCTGGAGGCACAGCACAGCAAGCTCCGTGATCGACTGCTAAGCCTCAATTTAGATTTGAAGAACGTACTAGACGGGATTGCAGAATCAACAGATAGGATATCAGAAGTGGTGGAAACCCTGGTGAGCTAGCTTACGATGTCCCTCCTTTTTACACAAGATTTTGCTTTGTTCCATGTAATTTTGACTTTGTTGGCCCACATTCACAGGAATCCGAGCTGCTGCAAAATACAGAGGAAGAAGATGCTTTGATTCCAGATGACATGGACCTGGATAGCAATGTACTCGTGGAGCCTGAAGCAGAGTGGAAAGCTCTTCTCCATCGCATTTCAAAGTAATGTTATTCTTTCTTTGCCTGATCCCTTGTCGAGTTTCATAATTTTCACCCGTCTAACTGCATTTTCATGTCAGGCTGAAGCATGCGAAGGTGTCAGAGCAAGAAAGGAAAGCTTTTGGTGAGCGCATGTCCACCTTAAAGATGTTCAAAGACCGGGCAGCATCCATTGTGACCTCGATGAAAGTCCTGAATGACGGAATATCGCGTGCGAAGTCAAAGGTATTCCTTTTCAAACTTGATAGCGCCTCGTTACCCTGCAAATGCTCTCTTCTACCCACTTTCTTGCATACCCTTAATTCTCCTTTCAACGTCTCATACCTGCTTCCGTCTCCCGTTTTCCTTCCAAAGGCTTCCACTCTCGTCAAGTGAGCACATTTTGTAATTATGTTAATCGAGGATCTTGTCAATGCAGGTGGTGATGGTTAACAAAGACACCTATGATCGTGTGAAGTCGTCTTTTCAGAATCTATGCCAGCATCTCCTTCCAAACAAGTCTGTCAACCTCATTCAACTCGGAGAAACTGTTGAAGATGGCATAAAGATTGCCTTCTCAAACAGCCAAGCACCAGATGATTCTGCAATGTCTTGGAACACGAACCTCAATCAGCTCTCTGGTATGCTGATGCATGCGTGTGAGATTGGCTACTGATACGCTTTCTAGCATGCTGACATGTGACTGATATGTGGAACCGTCTCTGGCGCAGGTGGACAGCGGACTCTCCTGAGTGTTGCACTGGTTCTGGCTATTGCCCAGTGCAGCCAGAACTTTGTGTACCTGATGGATGAGGTGGACGCTGCTCTGGATGAGGAAAATCAAAGCAGGGTTGGCGCTCTTGTGCAGAGCGAACTTGCAAAGAAGGGTCAGGTCCTCTGTGTGAGCCACAATCGGGCATTTCAGGCGTTTGCAGATTCTGTGGTCCAAGTCACCATGGACAATGGATCCAAGATCAGCTATGCCCAGTTGGAGTCAGGAAAGAGGGCAAAGCACATGGATAGCTGATTTTGTTTCCAATACCTTTCCTGCACCCATAACTAGCACTTCTCATTGTGTTGGTGCTTCTAAACCTAAACAGCACATGCTCATTCATCAGAATAATCCTAACTCCAGGGTTTCATGCTGCATTTGCAACCTAAATGCTTGTTAGCTGTGGGATGGTATCATTTTCCAGATGGCCAATTACCATGTATGGTACATTTGCTGCACATGGTACACTCAAGCTGCTGCAATTGCCTCATTCCTGGTGCAACAGGAAAAATCAGGACTTGACCAGTATGTCTAGCATGGATTCCTATCATTGGTACAGGATCATGGCATCTCTTGCATGTTCAGTAGACTCCGTCTTTACGGAGTCCAGTGACTTAGGTGTTGATGCCCCTCCGCTGCCGCTCCCTCTGCCAAAGCCAGCTGTCTCCCCATACGGCCTCGGACTCTCTGCCAATTTCCTCACCAACCTCCTCAGCTGGCCCCGCTCATGTCGTGAACTCTCCTTGTCATACACGCCTGCACTCCCCGCCGCAACCCCATAAAACCCTCTCATACCATCTGCCCCCACACCTCCTACAACCCCTCCTTCCCCCACCATCTCCCCCGGTCTGAGACCCATTTGAGCCAGTATTTGATCCACCTCATCCATGTTCGAATTGTCAGAGAGCTCTGACAGCCAATCAGCTGCCTCCGTCGCTCCCCCTGCCCTTGCACCGCTGTACCCACCATGCCTGTGCAGCCCTTCCCTGTTAGCCATGTTGCTGTGCCTGACTGAGCTGGTCTCGGATATGGACGCAGAGGAAGGGAGGGTGACACGCGGATTAATAAAAAGTTGGGGGCCACTGCTTCTTGTGGTGATGTCAAGCACAGAGGCATCAGCAGTAACGGTATCAGTAGCACCAGCACCAGAAGCACCAGAAGCACCAGATGCACCAGGAACAGCAGCAGCAGAAGCAGAAGATAGGAGCCGTTGGGAGGTGAGAGGAGATGGTAGCCCGTTTCCGCTGCTGTGTCGCCTCAAGCTACTGCTGGTGCTGCCAGAAGTGTGATAGGTGAAGGAACTCCCACCGTCCACAGACCCACTGGGGGAGGGTGAGCGGATGAAAGAAGCGAGATTCTGAATGCTATGAGCAGTGGAGGAGGAGAAGGTACGCGTGCGAGCGAGCTGTTCCCTTCTGCTGACTGCGATGATACTACCCTTGCCAGCTGTACTGTCCCAATCGCCAGCTCCGCTGCTTGCTGCACCGTCCCAATCACCAGCTACACCACTAATGGTGCTGCTTGCGCGGTTAAGTCTCCTGTTGTGTGATGGGCTCGGTCCACTGTTGGCACTGCCGCTGCCTTGACCCCAGCCTATGAGCGAGGAGAGGAAAGAGGAGGAGAAGTGGGAACTTGGAGCGGATGGGGTGGAGGCGAGGGGCAGGGCATAGTGGGTAGAGGGGGCAGCAGCAGCAGTAGAAGAGGAAGCCGCAGTAGCAGCATCAGAGGGAGCAGCACGCAATGCACTGCGACTGGATGTGGTGGATGTTGGGGAGGGTAACGGGGATGTGAGGCGGCCGTGATGGTGGCGGTACTCTCGCCGATAGTGGGGGCTCCTGATGAAAGCAAGGAAGACGTTAACAGAAAAGGGAGAACCGATTTGAGCAATGCACGAAGAGGAAGAGCCAATCACGATAACGTACAATCGGCGATAGTGGAGGCTCTCAAATGAACAAAAAGAAAAGGGAACAGCAGCAGTGGGAGCTGCTGGGAAGGGAATGAGTTGGTCGAGAAAGTGAAACATGAGCGGGCTCGATGGAATAAGCGGGGTCAGCATGCACACGATGTTAGCCATAAGGAGAGGAACAAAACAGTGTAGGCAGAAACATTACACCAAGCTCAGATAGGCATGACCTCAGATGGAACAAAAGCAGCGGAAATATTTCCGCAATGCTAACTGTCAACAGGGACCAGGATCATGGAAGACCCAACTGTCGACAGGGACCAGGATCATGGAAGTCGCAGCTGTGTGTTTAGTGCTAAACAGGGAAGATGTGCAGCTGGGCTGACGACACTCATTTCTGGGTTCTGGATAAGGCTCACAGAAAGGCACAGCTTTCGAATGCATGCTGCAGCCGCCACCCTCATGGGTTTGACGCTGACACTACTTTCATGAAGCCTGCACAATTGCTCTCCACCAATCTACCACCCGGGTCTCGCCCTCCATCCTCACCTTCGTGTGTAAGAAGTTTCGTTTTGAGAGAAGTTTCGTTTTGAGAGAAGTTTAGATTTGAGACGTCTCGAAACTAAACTTCTTACACACGGAGTCCGCACAGTTGCTCTCCACCACACTACCACCCTGGCGACGCCCTCCATACACACCTTCTCTGGGTCCAAGCAGGAGTCCGTTCTGCGCTGCTTTGCCTTGGCAATTGTTGTTGTTGCCCATCTGCCTGCCGCTGCTGCCCCCCCTGCCGTTGCTCCTGCTCGTTCTGTGCACCCTCCCTTCCCTCCTGATTCTTCTCTTCTTGCTGCTGCGCTTGCTGCTGCGCTTGCTGCTGCGCTTGCTGCTGCGCTTGCTGCTGCCCTTGCTGCTGCGCTTGCTGCTGCCCTTGCTGCTGCCCTTGCGGCTGCGCTTGCTGCTGCCCTTGCTGCTGCCCTTGCTGCTGCCCTTGCGGCTGCGCTTGCTGCTGCCCTTGCGGCTGCGCTTGCTGCTGCTGCTCCCATGTACTGCGTGTCTCGTCTCCATGTCGATGCTGCTGCCTCGCTCCTTTCTCCGCCACCACCGCTGCTTCTTCCTCACATCTCCCACCTCCCCCCTCTCGCAGATCGGCCCCTTTTTCCCGTACGCCCTCAACCCCCCCTGCCCTCTCCCGCTCGACTTCAATCTCCACCCCAACTTCCCCAAGCCTACTTTCTACCTCCCTTACCCTCCTTTCCACCCCCTCACACCTCCTCTCGGCCTCCCTCCTCCTCCTCTCCGCCTCATCCCTCCCCCTCTCAGCCACACCCATCATCACCATCACCTCTTTCACCTTCCTCCTCGCCTCTCCCTCCCTCTCCACCCACTCCCTCCGCTCCTCCTCTGCCCTCCCGAGCACCGCACTCAACTCCCTCTTCAGTACTTCTTTCTCCTCTAAACTCCTCTGCAGCTCCTCTTGGGACCTGCCCAATCTCGCCTCTACCTCCTCAACTCTTCTTAGCAATCTCTCCCGCTCTGCTCTTGCAGCCACTATTGCAACATCGTCTACAGAGGACAACGAGGAGGACAATAACGAGGATGCCGAAAGGTTAAGGGAGGAGGACGAAGGAGTTGATGGGAGTGACTTGGCACTGGTCAAGCCAAAGCTCCCTGATTTAATCACATTCGATATTATCACCTGCGCCTGTGCTAGCAACGCTTGGGCATCGCTGCTTGCCTGCCTGTCTCCCCCTGCTGCTGCCACAGCCCCCCCTGCGGCTTCCAACAAACCAGATAGCTCCAAAGCTGTCACTCCTGCTGCTGTTGCTGCTGCTGCTGCGTTGCCTTCACGTGTTGCTGCTGCTGCTGCTGCTGTTTCGCTGCTGTTCGCTGTGCCCATCCCCCCGCTGCTCTCCATCCCTCTTCCTCTGCCACTCTCTGCCCCCTCACCTCTGCTGCTCTCTGCCCCCTCACCTCTGCTGCTCTCTGTCCCCTCCACCGCGCTGCTGCTGCTCCGTGCGCTGTCCACCGAGGACGATCCGAACGACTGGTAGCCCATCAGCACTCGTGGCGTGCTGCTACCAGACCAAGACCCCCTCCCCTGCTGCTTCTGCTGCTGCTGCTGCTGATACTGATGTTGCCGATGCTGGGATTGAATGTGCTCATGATGCTGCTGTCGGAATCTCTGCAGGATTTGAGCCTCCTCTACCTGCAGTGACCTCAGCTCTTCCAGCTCTCGTCTCAATCCGTCTCTTTCGCTCTCCGCAGCAGCAGCCACTCCTGCTATTCTCCCCCTCTCCGCCTCCGCTGCTTGCAGTGCCGCCCTTAGGCTCTTCGTCTGCTGGGCTAGCACGGCCAGCTCCTCTGAAAGGGAGGAGGGATGGGGGAGAGGGACGGGGAAGGGGGGGGAAGGGAGGAGAGAGGGGGAGAGAAGAGGGAGAGGGGAAAGAAGAGATCGACAGGGGTATCAGCACCTGTGGCTGGGGGAGGGCGATGGGAGGTGGAGGGGGGGGTTGATGAAGGGGAGAGGGGTAGGTGAGGGATGCTGGACCACACGTTGACGGTACCACACACATCAACATCTCAGCACCACACACATCAACATCTCAGCACCACACACATCAACATCTCAGCACCACACGCTGACAAACCCTCTCTCACCTATCAACGTGTGCTTCTCCCGTTCACTCCCTGCCAAACGCTCTTCCGCCCGCCTCAGCTCATCCACCACACGTGTCACCTCCCTATTCGCCGCCTCCCTCCCCTCCCTCTCCGCCTCCACCTGTGTCTTCAGCGCTATCGCTCTCCCCCTCATTCCCGCTCTCTCCTCTTCAAGCCTTGCTCTCTCGGCGTCCACTCGCTCTTCCATCGCAGCTATTTCCGCCTCAAATAGCGCCTGCTGGGCTGCTCTCTCTCCTTCCACTCTCTTCTGATACGCCTCAAAAGTCGTCTGTTGGGAAGCCGCCGCCTCCCGCCCTTCCTGACGGAGCCGCGCCAGATTCCGTTCAAACGAGGCCCGCTCCGTCAGCAGCTGCTGCTGCAGCGCCGCGATCTGCTGCGCTGCCGCCGTGAAATCGACTTCCCGCGAGAACAAGGCCGAGCCGGGCGCGTTTAGAGGCGGGTGGAGACACGCGGGGGGTAGCGACGCGGGGAGGTGGGCCACGTGGGGCGAGGTGGGCGCGCTTTGAGGCGACTGGACATACGGCGGAGGGAGGGATACGGCAGATTGGGCCTGATCCGGTGATTGCTCCTGCTGCTGCTGCTGCTGCTGCTGCTGCCGTCGCTGTTGCTGCTGTCGTTGAATCTGCTGCCGTATCTCGGCAAGTCTTAGGTGCGGCTGCTGCTGCTGTTGCTGCATCTTCAACGCCCTGCCGCGCGTGCTCCTCCCCCTTCAGTCTTGAAACGTCTCAAAACTGACGTTGAATCTGCTGCCGTATTTCGGCTAGATTCAGTTGCGGTTTCTGCAGCTCCAGCTGCTACCGCATCTTCGACGCTCGGCCGGCCCTCCTCCCCCTTATTACTGTACATGCCGCGAGCGGCGGCTTCCGCGCATGCAGCGCGCAATCAGGGGCGGCGGATGGACTGCGGGGGGGGGAAGGCGGGGGGGAATGATGCGCGAGATCGGCGATTGAAGAAGCGGAGAGGGCATGACAGATCAGAGCTAGTAACCCGGAAGAGACATGTTAGGCGGGGCATGGGAGAGGAGAAGAGTGGATGTGGAAGTGATGGGATGGACGGGGAGGGGAAGGGATGGGATTCTTGTTTCGGTAGGCCCAATGCTGCCATGGTGGATCATGGGTTGAAGAATGTAGGTCCGTTGAACCTGGACTGGAGAAAATCCCCTACCAGAAACTAGAGATGAAATTGGGGAGAACTCAAGAATGGATGGACAGGTACTCGTCGAATTCGTATGAAATTCTCAAGCGAAGACTCCAAGGGCTCCGTGGAAAGTTCGCGAATGAGGCGAAGTGTTGTTGTTACGTGTACTGATAGTGGAAAAGTTTAACACATTTTGGCAACCACTTGTTGCCTTGCACTCGTCACGGAAGGTCAACCAATCCTCAAATCAATTGTTTCAATTAGAACAGCACAAGTTGTGCTGTCAGCCTGAAAACTTCCCCAAGCTGGGATTTAGTAAACAACTTGGCCAAAACATGTGCAATTACAGCCATGCTGCTGAGGATTGCCAATGCGAATGCCGGTGCGTGCAGCCTACATGCAGGCGCAGGCAGGGAGGGCTGTGGAGCACTGCAGGGTGAGAGTCCGGAGCCTCTCAACCACCTCGGCCATATCGGGTCGGCGTGCTGGCGTGTGGTGCCAGCACTGCTTCATGAGGGCTGCCAGGGTTGCCGGGCATGATGCTGGGATGTCTGGTCGCAGGCCCTGGGGTAAGAGTGTGGGGAATACAGGGGAGGGGATATGTGTGTGAGGACAGGGAGGGAGCGCAGTGAACCAAACGCCAGCACTGCCTCATGACGGCCGAGAGGGATGCAGGGCACGATGCAGGGCGTGATGCTGGGATGTCTGGTCGCAGGCCCTGGGCCGACAGGGAGAGAATTTAGGAGGTGATAGCATCAGGAGCACAGATCAGACTTGAATGAAAGGCGCCAACCTGAATGGTGGCAATCTGAATGGCGCCAACCTGAACGATGCTATGCTAGCAGCTGATGAACTAGCAGTACTAGAATAGTCAGAGCCTGGATGGCTGCCTTGGAGGAGAGGATATAGAGGTTAAGGCGCAGACGAATCGGGTGAATGTGAGCTTCGCAGCAGTCTCTCAGGTACTTTTGGGCACTTCACCAAAACGATGCAACCCCCCTCACCTGATGCACCATGCTGCAGACTTGCTCCGGCTTGAGCCCCTCAAAGGGAAACGGGTTACCACATGTAACGATCTCCCACAGCACGATGCCATAGCTGTACACGTCAGCCATGTGATCGTATGGCTGCTCCTTGAGCACCTGGAGCAGGGTCAAGCAGGGCATGGAGGGGAAGGAGAGTCTAGACGAGGTCAGCCATGTGGTCGTACGGCTGCACCTTGAGCACCTGGCATGTGGGAGTGGAGAGGCATCGAGGGGAGTGGAGATGGGGTTCCCTGTGTTGACTGAGTGACTCAGCCATCCGCTCTGTGGCCCTAGGGCTGCTCCTTGGGCACCTGCAGCATCAGGGTAAGTTGGGGTACGGAAAGAAAGGAGAGACTGTTTGACAAGAGTTAAGCAGCGCCTGGGTGGTTGTAAAGCTGTTTCTAGAGCACCTGCTGCAGCAGCAGGGTGACGGAGGGGCATGGAGGGGATGAGGAGACTATTTGAGTGGGGTGAAACGCCAGCTCTGTGGTCGTCGCATCGCATGGCCTCCTTAGACCTCCTTGAGCGCCGGCAACATTGGAAGCAGCGTTGCCTTGTGGATGGCATGGAGGGTGGAAGTTCTGAGTTGATTCAGACCCAAGCCGTGCGTGATCGTAGGCCAAAGGCACCTGCCCCACGGGCCTAACCATACCTCTGGGGTTCTGTAACTATACCTGTCATGCCATGTAACCATGTAACCATACCCTTGTAGCCAAGTCACCGCACCTCTGGCGCCATGTAGCCATAGGTGCCGGTGCGTCGGCTCATGGTCTTGTCCCCCGGCTCCACCCTCGACACACCGAAGTCTGCTATCTTCACCACCCTGCACGCGGCAACACAGCACAGGGTGCGGCGATACCGAACGGGGGTCAGGCGTCCGATAACAAGGGGGGCGTGCAGCTGCAGCCATGAGGGGTGCAGCTGGGTGTGGTGGGATGCTAGCAATGCGTGCCAGGCTCACCTCTGCTTCTGGTCCAGCAGCAGGTTGTCTGTCTTGAGATCCCGATGCACGATGTTGCGTGAATGTAGGTACTTCAGGCTGAGAGGGGAGGGAGGAGAGGACAAAAGGAGGGTAGGAATGGCACGGGAGGGGGGAAAGGGCGAACATATATGTAGAGAGTGCATCAGACGGATGTTGCCATGCACTGGGAATCTGGGCAGAATGATAGGGACTGAAAAACAAAGCGTAATGATTCGGATCCACTATGTTTGATAATGCTTACAAATCCCACCATTTCCCGTTCGTTCTCTGCACCACCTGCATGCCTCATTCCACCATGAGATAATGCATACTCCCGCGCGCATTACTGCGGACTACTACACCAATCCCTCGCACTCTGGCTATCGCGCCTTTCCTCACCCGAATCTCTTTGCAGCCCCCGATTAGGGTTTCCCCACAACCTGCTATTATCCCTTCTTCCCAGGTCAACCCCATCTAAATGTTTTCCATCCATTACCGCACTCGTACACGTACCCTTCGGCGACTTGTGATGCCAACTGCAACGCTCGTTTCAGCGGCAATCGCTTATTTTTCTTCTCCTGTTTTGCTAAGAGCTGCTTCAGCGTCCCGCCGGGGAGAAACTCCAATACTACACAGCAGAAATCGCTTCCAACGCGCAACTGCCCTTGGTGATCCTCCACCGTCGACGCCAGATCGTACGACTCGTGTCCTCCGATTATCGCGCCGACGAACTCGCATATGTTCTTATGTCGAAGCTTGCTCCAAACGAGCACCTCTTGCGCAAACACATCCCGCAAAAACGCCAAATCCGCGGAATTCATTTTCCCCAGGGCATCATGCTTTCTCCCAGCCTTCCCCGCAGGGCCCCCCCCAGCCCCGCCCGCGCCCCCCCCGCGCACGCTCTCCCCCGCCCAGTTGAGAAGCTTCACGGCGACGTCTCTGCCCTTGTACTGCCCCCGATGCACGGTGCCGAACGAGCCGCGCGCGACGAAGTCGTGAATCACCAGCTGCGATGAGTCCATCTGCCACCGCGCGGGACGCACGCGCGCACCGCCGCCACGTGGCGTGCAAGGCTCGCACGTCTGCTGCTGCTGCTGCTGCTGCTGCGGCTTTGCCTCGTTGAGCGGTTCGGGAGCGTTGCCGCCGGGCGCGGCGATTACTCGGGGTGTGGGGATGTCGTCGTTAGATCTAACGGCTTGGCGCGGCGTCCGCGGCGTCCGCGAAGCTCGCGAAGTTCGCGGTGTCTCGAGGACAGAAGCGAGAGGCGCTGTTGCGCTCTCGACTGCGCCAGTTTCCGCCGACCATCCGGACCACCACGAACGCGACGACATGGGGGGCACGATGCTCGTAAGAACGCCGCCGCCGCCGCCGCCTTGCGCTTCGCGTAACTGGGCGACGTCAGCCGAGTCGCGTGCGCCGTCCCAGTCGTCGTCCGTCACCTCCTCCCCTTCCGTCTGCATCCGTTCCAGAATCTCCGCCGCGCCGCAGTTACTCGTCATTCGCCGCAGTACCGCGCACTCCGCGACTAACTCGCGCACGTCGACCGACCCGATGGGTTGGTGCTCTAAGGACCGCCTCCTATTGGACAGCCGCTCGGCCGCTTTCTCCTCGAGCGCGCGCCGCACGCTCTCCCATCCCGTCTCGCCAGGAAACTCTATGCCCAGCATCGAGTCTGCTCCTAACGGGGAAATAGACTGAGGTTCTTGTTCGACTAGCGGTGAGAGAGGGGCTACAGTCGAGTCCGCTGGAAAGCACCCCTCGGCCGCCAGATTCGCCGTGATAGACGGATGCTCTGGTTTACCGGTGACATCCGTTTCGCGAATATGACTGGCATTAACGACAGTCGACGCTTCGGCTAGTAACGGTGGTTCGATTGCCGCTGACGGCGCTGGTTGCATTGATCCGCCATACCCGTCACGCGCTGATGACGCCGCTGGTTGCGCTAGCGCACGACAAGCAGTAGGAGTAGCAAGGGCAGCCGTGGCAGCCGTGGCACGGGTCGAAGTAGCCGTTTCTTGCGACGCGTCGTCGCTCTCAAGGCTGCTGGTAAAGCTCGTCGCCTCGAATGTGTCGTGCGACGCACCCGAGTCATTGTCAGATGACGTCACGTTCAACGCGCGTAACAGCTCTAAATGGCTGCCTGGTTTGAAGGCAGCTACTAGGCTAGACTTAACTGAGTCGTGACTCGGCTTGCCGCCATTGCCGTCAGTTGCGGACACTTGGCCCTGCTGCGGGCTAACGAAGTGGAATGAGGCTGCAGAGGCGGCGGTTTCTATGCTTACGTCAGCGCAGGGAGGAGTGGCTAAAGCAACGGCAGCAGCCATGGCGGCGCTAATATCGGAGCTTCAGCAGAAGCTACGACCTGTGCTCCAGCATATGAAATGGAGAGCTAATAAAACGTGAATCATAGAACGTAAAACGTGAATAGATTCGAAGACTCTGGAAAAATCGCCCAGGTACAGTAGGCAAGAGGATCCTGGAACTATGGAACCTAGGCAGGCACATTGCTTGCGAGCTTGGTTGGCTTGGGTTGTGGAGACTGTGGTGGTGGTGGGTGGGGCAAGGTGAATAAGGGGAGGGGAGGAGGCCCAAGCGCGAGGGTGAAGGAAGTGACGAGGAGGAACCAGCTGTGCGGAATTCGCCCGCCGCCAAAACACAGGACAGGCAGTTGTTGCTCATGACAAACAACGATTCTCTTCCCCACCATAGCCAGTACATCTCGCGCCCTATCCCGCACATTATCCAAGGGACGCGATTGTGGATTCCAGGGCGCAACTTGCGACAAAACTTTACAGGAGTTGCCCGACAAAATTTTACAGGCGTACTTCTTCCAAACCAGAAATTGTTTTTGTCCAGATTTGTTTGAACGTTCTCTCACCTAAGCTCAGCACACCACGAGTGGACGGCAGTCCAGAAATCCTGCACTGTGAGGCCACCGCGTGTCAATCGACCACCGCAGGATCATGTCGCGCGAACGGCCCCCCCCGCGCGTTGAGGCAGCCGTCGACTGCCTCGTGGCAAAAACTTGACATGAGAAAAGTAAATTACACCCTAAGTCTCAAAACGGCTGAGAGTATGTCAGGACGGCTGCGTTTGTTTTTAGCGGAATGTGATTGTACGTGACACAGCGCGGAACCGACCGTCGGGGGTATTTCTCGAGCACCCGAAGCTGTAGTGGTGTACTCCGGAGTGACGAGTGTTTGGCCCCACTGAGGGGGTTAACCGGTAAGGAGATTTAAAATACTGGAAGGTTCGCAACAGCCAAAAAACCCGCGCACTGAACCAAATGTTGTCTTGTACTGTCGTGAGCAGGTGACTAGTTCCCTGTTTCCTTCGAGAACTCTCAGATGTTCAGGTGACGCTGTGGGATGTGTTGAAGTTCGTTTTGGAGACCCTGGGGCAGTTCAAGGGGCTGGCTCAACCCGTTCTCGCCTGTGTTTTTTTCCCACAATAAGCCATATTTGCTCTAGCGCAACGTGAATTTCCATTTCACAATGTGATAAGAAGCCGATCTGGGCAATGACTGTATCCGTTTTTTTTATGCTACGTGATTCGAGACAAACGAGATTTAGGGTGTAGTTCTGTCCCCCTCGGTACAGTACGTCGCAGCCCGTATCTCCACCTCCCTGGCTGTGACAACTCACCACCACCAATCGAAACCCGCCGCCGCTAAATCAAAAAGTTTGAAGTCGTGCTGAATGTTGTGGACGAATGGTGCGGAGTTGCGGCACGCGGACCGACCAATCAGCCGCGGTGATTGGCCGATTTTTTGTTCAGATGAGTCACTCTTGACCGACACATTTCCATGATTGTACACCACCAAGAACTACACAATCCGTTCAACAAAAAAGACGTGGCTAATAGTAAGGAAATGTAAATTCCTTACAATATACCTGTTATGAGTAGCGCGGAGGGCAATGGCGAAACTGTGAACTAGTGAATGGGAATAAAATGAAAGACAACACAATATATAGAAAACCTATGGTGATCCTGGACGTGGGATCAGAAGGTTCGGGAAAAGTGTCAAAGGGCCTCGATGTGTCGAAGCGAGGTCCAGAAAGGCCCAGGAGGCTCGAACTGAAAGGTCTGGAACCCTATCGCTGGTTCGGGACTGTTCGAGTCGTACGCCCTGTAGCAAGCCTCAGTAAGGAATGACTAATTCCTTACAATACATGTTTCTTGGAACAGTCTAAATTCCAAACCCACCTAACAGGTTCTCCGCATTACTCGCCTTGACACAGAACCTGATTGGCTGCAGTCTGAACAATAACAAACAGTCAAGTCGAATGTCGACAATTGTGAGTTTCATATGTCAACTTATACGTACATTTGCATGTAGAAGTTATAGGCCAGAATAGGTGTGTGTTCTTAGAGAGTACAACCCAAACCCTATATCTCTCTTCTTTCTATTCATTCTAGTATTCTAACATGGTATCATGAGTAGGTTAGGTCCACCCACCCGCTTCCGCCCCGCGCCCTAGCCTACCGCGCCTCGCCGGCCCCTTCCGCTCCCAGCCGACCCCTCTCGCGCCGTAGCCGGCCCCTCTCGCGCCGTTGCCGGCCCCTCGCGCCTAGCCGCCCCCCCCCCCCCCCCCTTCGCGCCGTAGCCGGCCCCTCACGCGGTAGTCAGCCCCTCGCGCCTAGCCGGTCCCTTGCGCCGTAGCCGGCCCGTCGCGCTCTGGCCGGCCCCTCGCGCCTAGCCGGCCCCTTCGCGCCTAGCCAACCCCTTGCGCCGTAGCCGGCCCCTCGCGCCTATCCGGCCCCCTTCGTGCCCAACCGGCCCCTTTCGCGCCGTTGCTGGCCCCTCGCGCCGTCGCCGACCCCTCGCGCCGTTGCCGGCCCCTCGCGCCGACGCCGGCCCCTTCGCGCCTAGCCGGCCCCTCGCGCCCTAGCCGGCCCCTCGCGCCGTCGCCGGCCCCTCACGCTCAGCCAGCCCCTCTAGCGTCGTAACCGGCCCCTCGCGCCTAACCGGCTCCTCGCGCTTAGCCCCCCCCCCCCCCCCTTTTCGCGCCGCTGCCGGTCCCCCTCGCCTAGCCGACCCCTCTCACCCAGCCGGCCCCTCGCGCCTAGCCGGCCCCTACCGCATAGCTGGCCCCTTCTGTGCACCACCAGCCCCACGCACCTCGTGGCTCCTATCTACGCACCGGCCCCCTTCCCGCACCTGCCCGACCTCTCGCATGCCTGGCCGGCCCCTCATGCACCTCGGCCCCTTGCGCGTCCGCACGCTCCTCACACTGGCTCCTCTTGCGCCCTCATCGGCCTCCCGCCCGATCCCCGTTTCGGAGAGTCCTGCCGCCACATCGCTGTATCGCCGTGCAACTGAGTACCAGTGTCCCTGTGCCACTATGTCACTGTGTTCCTGTGCTGCAGTGCCGCTGTGTCCCTGGGCCGCTGTGGTTGTCCGATGGCGGACGCCATGCTACGCCTGGACGCGGAGGGGCACGTGATCGACTTCGTCGCCTAGCTTGTCGATCTTCGCCGGCACCTGAAAGTCAGCGCCAGGATGGGCACTGCTGATGGCTTGCTTCCCCACCCTTCTGCGCCTGATCCCTTGCTTGCTGACCCCACCACTGCTGAGAGTGAGGCCTTTGCTGCTGCTGTGTTCGCTCGCCCTGTCTGGGATTCTCGCTCTGTGATGCGCTTCCCCTATCTGAGCGCCCGCATTTCACTGCTGTCGCGAACGCCAAAGACGTTCTAGATGCAGTAGTTGCACGCTACTCCACGCCTGCCTCCGCCTCAGTTGGACGCTTGATCCTCCGCATGCTCTTCCCTGGTCTCTCTGCTTTCCCCACTATCGCTGATCTCGCAATTCACCTCCGTGCACTAGAGACTAGCTATCGCGCTGCTAGCACTACTACCCAGCACACTGCCTTCCCCCCGCCGTTCTGCGCTACCATCATCGCAAAAAGTGCAACGTTAGCGGATCGTTTACGCCATTCGAAGCTGGCCGCATAGTCGGAAATCGTCCGCCAGGTGTTCGCCAAGTGTTTTTTTCCTGTTTCGTTTAACGTAAATGGTTTGCGAGTCTTCCGCGAATGAGTTGTTTCGCGAATGAGTTGTTTTGTAAATGTTACACCTTGATAATAATCTTGTTCTGATGGCTTATATTTCCATACAGAATCGGTCAGTCTACACTAAAACTTGTACAAAGTTTATAACATCGATCCGGGGAAGCTGAAATGTTAAAATAAACGAATTGTGTGTTTATGATATTTTTATGATAGTAAACGTACTACTACTTCTAATTTGGGCAATGTCTTTGTAGAAACAGCAAGTGCAAAGTAAGGTATTGATCTCTTCAAGAGATAGTTTTATTTTGTTCCCCTCAAGATTCGAACTCGGATCTTCCAACTGTGCTACGTGCAAAAATTACTCAAAAACGAGGTTCTCCCAGGGATCGAACCCGACTCTTCACATGTGTAGATTATGACTTACTATCTGCAGTGCGTATCTACTTTATATTTAAATGTTTTAAAATGTAATATTTAAAATTGGTTTTGTTGCTGGTTTCACTACCCTGCTTCCAACTGCTTATAAGGTCGTAGTCCAACAGAATCGCGGTTCCAATCCAGCTAGACAAAATTTTGAGATACCGAACTGAACCAAATTGAATCGCAAATTACAGCGTATTCTAGCGCGCGCGTAACCTGAAATCCAGAAATATTTGCTTAATATTTGTGTACATGGAAACACGCCCCGATTCACAACATGACGTGCATATAGAAACACGCCCCAACCACACTCCCACCCCCTACCATACCTGCACTTTGTTCCAACCAATCCCAACCCAATTTCCCTAACCAACTCAGCCCATGCACCTCGCCCAACCAATCGAAATCGGCCGAGCGATTCCAGCACGGCTAAATCCAGCTCAACCCCCTGCTCGCCCCAACCACCCAGCCCACCACGTTGCACACTTCACATGCCAGCAATCCTTGCCAGCACAGACTTCTGATCCTTCCTTATCTGCCCCCTTGCGCCCACTGATGTCTTTCAGCTAGACTTTTCTTACAGTATTATTCATCGGCAGTTCAATCTGTATCAGTTTCAGCCCCCCCTCTTGCCTTCGCACCCCCTTAGTGATTAGCTTCTTCCTCTGCCAGACTTTAACCAGTTACCATGGTCGTTCTTGGTTTACGATAACATGAGTATGTCATTTCGCGATAGCTGTTATTTCTATCGTTTTAATCTTCTGGTACTAATTAGCTTGTAAGTGGCTATTGTTGTTCACAATTGTCCTTCTTATTGGCAGGTTCATGAGCTAATACGTCTTCGGGGTTGAAGGCATTTGTTAACTGGAGTTTCTATCTAACTATGTTTTGCCTGTGTGCTCACGATGCTCGTCTTTATCGCAGCTAGCCATGTAACTCAGTCCAGCATAAAGATTATTCTTCCGGTAAGCACGTCTCTTAGTCTCGCCAATCGTTTATTCGTCGGACTAATTTCACGACAATGTCTAAGCTGACGTGCAGAGATTTGTAGCCAACCTCGAGGCACCCCTCGTAAGCCTCGTGTTGAAAGTCTGGTTGTTTGGA